AGTCTCTGTTACTTCAGTGTTACGTTACAGGAGTTTCTATACGCACAGGACAAATCCAATCTCTTCAAAAGAAACAAAACCAACTAAGAATCTCCCTCCATAATGTGAGCAATATTACCTCATGCTGCATATAATTGATGTATAAAAATATTTAGCTGTTGTTGGCTTTACTGTGCACTACTTAATTTATTTTTGTGTTCTGTGTGAACTCTAGTCTGTGGTTAGGAACTTTTCTGCTGAATTTTTGTTTCTTTAGCCCTCTGTTTCCAGTATGGCCAGGATGAGCCAGAGTACTGTCAGGTATGAGCGTCAGTGAGGTTTTTTGAAAGCTGAGGATGCTGATGTAGATGTAGGCTGGGTGTGTTAAGTAAGGATCTGCACTTATCTTTGGGAAAAAAATAGAAAAAAAAGAATTCACACAACCTTGTTTACATAATATAAATATCACAGAGTGTATAGGTGACACTTGTCAATGGTCTAGGCTTGTTCTTAGAGATAGTCTTGTCAGGGAATGTGTTTTTAAGGTTTGTTTGACCAAATGGTGTAGGGGAGTGTGATGTGTAGCTGGGTGTGTAGTGGGATTTGTGTCTTGGGAGCGTTTCTCTCAGTTCCTCTGTCTTGCCTCCCTCCTCTCTCTCCACGTTCAGCTGCTAAAGTACTTCCCTGTGGCCAGGGAATGTGGGTGCTTCCACTCCGTGCAGGTGTTCCTTGCAGGTTTATTTGCACTACCCTGGGGGCTGGCAGGGGCTGCTCCCTCCTGGAGGCTGCCCCAGGAGCCAGCCAGGGCATGGAAGTGCTTGACAGGCAAAGAACCAAACCAAATACAATCTGAGCTCATTGAGGCTTGTGGCAAGGAGCACGCATGGAGTGAAACAGCTTTAAGGAGCATAGAGCCAATCAGAACAGGAGCAGAGCAGGAGATAAGCCAGGTTTTGGGGTATGTTCTCTTCTTGCACTGCCATCAAACCAGGGAGCAGGATATTGCATCACTGGGATTCCCCTGGTGTAGGACAGGAGTTCAGCACCAGGAGCACAAGTGAGTAAATGCCTTTTGTGGTGAATGGTGGCATTCATTGTCTTGCCACTGAAGCCAGCATGGCACGTGCCCTGTCGTGGAAAATGTAGATACAGGTATTGTAATTCACAAAAGTCCAATGTTGCCACAGCTCCCTGTCCCATGTACAATTGCTTCTGCCAGTAGTGTGGCACAAACCTCAGAAGTGGGCAGTCACTTCAGATACTCACAACACACTACAGTTGTTGGATGTAGGCAAGGATTTTAGCACAAGAGTTTTAGGCAGGAATCATTTAGCACATGGAAAAGGAGATTGTGCTTGAGAATTGTGTATATGGTGGTTTTTATCCTAGCACGTAGTGTACAAGTCATTAGTAGATCTCAGAGGTCAAATTTTCTGTGTTTTGGCACCAAAATCTCCTGGAATCATGCCCAAATTCTTCCTAGAATGCCCAAGCACTTTATAAAGACGATCTGAACCACATTACCCTCCTTTAGCAATGAGGACACTAAGGCTTGGAGAGAAGTCACTTCTCCAGAGTGACCCAGCAGGTCAGTACAGCTGAGAATTAATCCTTTCAAGTCCCTGTACAGTCTCTTGTCCAAATGCCATACTGCCTCCCTGCAGGGAGGACAAGCCACGTGGAAAAGTGCTTGGTACTCATCACAAGCTGTGACTGTCTTCATCATGAACAAGTCTGAAAGTCTAAAGCCCTCAAACAGCATCTCGAAGCTGGCTGGCATGGTTATCAAACACTTTTTCTTAAGAATCCTCCTCTTCTTAAGCTAGTTGGGTTTGTTTTTTCTTCTTGTTTTTTCTTTTTCTTGTATTCTTCTGAAGATCAGCTATTTTTCTGGAGGCTTTTAACCCATTCTCTTCACATCCTGTGTCAGGCCACCCCTTTTGTAAACAAGAACTAAATGAAACGGCCTCTGGCTCTTTGTTGAGCCACGTCAGTCACTGGGTAGCACAAGGGAACCAAATTATAAGTTTCAATGTAAAGGAATATTTTGAGATGGATCCTAGTTTAAAATGATGGATTTCACTGCTAATCTTCCCTATCTTGCCCCTGTTACAACACATTCTGTAGCTTCTCAGAAAAATACCTGATGTAGCTTTATTTAACTGACATTTTGTTGTTCAAACTGGCATTTTCAAACATAGGTATGTTATATAGTACACATGATATAAACAAACCAAAACCAAAAGGATTGTAACTGAGCTAACATTGAAGATCATGGCTGTCCCTAAATTAATGCTTTCATACAGAGTGCTTTTAGCCAGTCCTAGCTTCAGTGCATTTTTGCTGGTTAGTTTTAGTATTTTCTCATTGTGAGAAGATGGATTATTTTGTAATGTCCAATTCAGCGATGCAGCTACTTAGACATGGCGTTATTTATAAATAGAAATATATGCAGTACTACATTGGTTTGGCTGTTTATCATTCATGACACTGACATGTAGAATTTCCAATAAATAGCTTTTGGTTATCTTATCCAACGCTGACTTCCTTACGCTCCAAAGAAGATTCCCCCCACTCCTTTGTTTTTATGTCATATATGTTTCTTCTGTATCACAACCTAAAATCGTTCAGCTAACTTAATGCTTTGTACTCAGAAATATTGTGGTAGTCTTAGCATTAATTAGCCTTTGTGAACAAACTGTATTGTACCAGATTTTTTTTGCTTCAGAGCTGGACTATCCGTAACTATACTTACTGGCAGTGTACTTCTGGTCATTGTAACTGACTGGGCTGATCTTGACTTTTAGATTCTGTATTGTGGGGACTAGACAGTGATGAATGTATTTCTAGCAGTTTCCCATGAATGAATCTAAACTTGAGCTGTACTGGTTCTGAAAATGAAAGTTATTTATTTTAAGAAATAAAATCCAGATAGTGTTGCTTTTTACAGCATAATAAATGGAAATACCAAGGTGATGGTGGTGCTGGTGAGTTTTATTGGTTGTCTGTGGGATTGCCATTGAAATAAGTCTTCATTTGTGGCAAGGCTGTCCTGGAAAACCCACTCTGGTCATTTCTATTGTTCAAAGCATACAGGAAATCAGAATGAATTTCTGTCATGTAGCATTTCCCTGTTTTGGTTTTTTTTTTTGTGTTTATTTTGATACCTACACTTCCAGAGCTGTGACCTTTCCCTGGTGGTTGCTTTTTGTTAATGTTGGAATTCTGGCTATGTACTCTGGACAGGCCGAGCTTTCTCTTGACTTACTCTGCTTTCCTTCATCACACCAACAGTTTCCTTTATTATTCTTCTGGATGCACAGTTCATATAAAACCTGACAAGTGTGAGATGAGGGATTTTGTCACTTATAGCCCCAGAGAAACGCAGCAGGGTCCACGTTGGTAGCCCAAAGAGATGAACCATAGATCAGTTATCCTACTGAGGACTCGAATTAGAAATTCAGGTTCAGTTTATTGAAGGTTGTGTGGGGATGGAAACAAATGAATGAAGGGATACAAGCAGTAATAAAAAAAGGTAACAGCCACTTTCTAATAACTCCAGTGCAGACAGGTCTGCCACAATGCAGAGAATTAAAAGCATGGAAACTGCCTCAGGCTTCAGAGCTGTAACCCTTTAGTTGCACAAACAAGTTTAAAATGAGATACAGAGTAGTAAAATACAGACTGGCACATCCACTTTATCATAGAAGTAGCCAAAACATGAGAGAGGACAAAAGTGGCAACTGACAGTTCCTTTTATTTAAAATATATAAAAGAATATTCCATTGAGGAAAAGTCACTGTTTCTAGAACTACCGGCTATGGAAAGACCAAGCTGTGAATAAGGCCTCTGCTTTAAGTCCCACAAAACTGAACAATAAAATGGTTTGTAGAACATGAATACAAAGCATAGCTCAAAAAACAACTTGATTTTTGTACTAGCAACAGATAACACGTCCAGCTGTTACAGTAAGATAAAAGCATTAAGTCATTTCCTGTAGCACTGTTAATCCCAGTAACTCAGGGCACCAAAAAGAAGTCAGTTTGCAATGCTTGCATTTAAATATGTGTTGGCAATGCTTTCATTTAAATATATGTGTTAGATGCTCTAGGTCCTTTAGTTTTCCTAGGAAGCCTTTTCAGGGGGCACATGAGATGCCTTGGGCACAGCACACCAAACTGGAGCAGCCCTTCTGTTCCCAAGCAGCAGCTGATGGGTGTGGAGGGGCCTCTGGAGGTGACCCTGTCCAAGCCCTGCTCAGGCAGGGCCCTGCAGTGCCCCTGTGCCTGGACAGGGGTGCAGCCCCTCCAGCTCAGCAGCTGCACTAACAGGGACCCTCAGGGAGACACAGCTGCCTCAACAGCCTTGCCTCTCAACTGAGAGCTGTTCATTGCCTTAAATGTGCTGAGAAACCAACCTGTTCCTCCTCTGGTGGAAGCACAGCTTCATGCTTTAGGTACTGCAGACTGCATACCCTGCAGACATTGCTCTGGACAAACTTCTTCACTTTCCTGTGCCTTACCCCTAATTACAAAACCACCTCATTATCAAAACCTGTAAAGTGTTTTAGCTATTTGAATTAACAGTTAAATAAATGCCCTGGTTCATGATGCATGAGAAAACTGAGTTCTGTTCCACCTGTTATAACCTACAGGGGCTCTGTATTATTGCAGAACACAGGGGTGACCAGATCCTCACCTTGGCAGATCAGGCACAGTAAATAAAATCATAATTCAATCCCTTTTGCAGTCCTCTAAGAGGAGGTTCTGATTCTGTCTGATGACTGCAGTCTGCAGAGGCTTTAGTCTTGATTATGCACCTTGGGTTCCAAGCTCAGCATGTGCCAATGCAGCTTGAAGGTGGTGTCCTAAGAAATGCTTTTTATGGGAAAGGTTGTGATAAACATCCCTACACAAGATTGTGCCTTGTGAAAATGAAATGCAGGTAACATTTTTGGCTTCTGCTCTCTCCATGGGCCATGCCCAGAAGAGCTTAAAAGCACAAAAACTTCAGCAGCTGTGGCATGCTATGTGTAGAGTGTTTCCCTTTTGTGATGCAGACAAAAATTCAAGGTGTAACCTTTCTGAACAGAACCTCTGTAAAAGAACCAGCTTTCCTTTGAAGCCTTCTATGTACAGTTAACTGTTTTAAACTTTTAACTAATTTCTTCAAACAATGAATGCATGTTTCTGCCATCACTGTCATTGAGGAGCTCACAATCTCACCTTCCTCTTCCTCCACTCTGGCACAGTATCTTGCTAATTAAACAAAGATATGCTTGTAGGGAGGCTGCTCAGGCTGCTGCTGTTGGTATTGCCATCAGCTAAAACTGCTGCAGGACCTTGAGGCTGAGGAACCAAGGAAGGGAAGCGCTGTCCCCAAGGCACTGATGCAGCACAGGAGGCGAGAAGCGGACGGGCCGTGCTAATGACGCAGGGGAAGCTCAGCCACAGCTCAGAGCTGGATGTGTGTGCACATCTGCAAGGAACAGGGGAAAAGGAAACCTCATTACACAGCCCCAGCCCTGCTTCTCAAGTCCTTGCTAGCCACAGAGCATGACCACCTTCTGCCCCAGTCACCCTGATTCACATCAGCATTCAGCTGCTCAGGGTGGGGATCACTTGAATTTGTTTCTTTTCCTGAAGCACACCCTGCAAGGGCAGCACTTCCAAACTGCACTCCTGCTGGGGCCCTCCCCACAAAGCCCCCACCAGAGGGATGCTCCTTCCTCCCGTGCCATCTCTCCTCCAGCAAGGCACACACAGCAGCTTTGCTCTGCTGTTCTTCACCCTTCTCCTGCAGACATGTTTGAAAAACAACCGCTGGCAATCCCAGTCTAACTCTGGATCCCAGCTTTTCCTATGCTTGTGAAGACATGTGTTCTCTGCCTAAGTATCTGAGGTATGTCTCAGGGAAAAAGAAAAGGGAAGAGCAAGCTGTGGCTGAACCCTAGAGCTCCTGGTACGTACCACAGTATCGATCTCTGCGGGGCCCACCATGCGAGACACCTCATCAAACTCCTCGGGAGACATGGGCAGCAGGTTTTCTGGGGACTGCAGCCTGGAGGGGTGCCTGAGGGACAAGAGCAGGGATTAAAAGGTGCCTGAGGGACAAGAGCAGGGATTCACTGTCACCAAACAAATGAGGCACAGCTGGGCTACTCTGCCTGGCTACCAACCAGGCCCCTTGTGAGGAAGAGCAGCCTTTGCAAAGCCAGCCTGGCCTAAAATGAAACTCAGACTACTCAGGGGTGCACATCCTAACCAAAGAAGTCCAACAAGTATTTGAGAATGTGCTTTTCAAGAAATTACTTGCCTGCACAACACCCTGCAAGTTTCTAGGGTTTTTAGCTAAAAATGGTGTTTGAAACACAGCAGTGCATTAATGTGTTGTGATCAGATTCTCAAAGAGGAAAGACCTGACTGGGGCACCTACAGCTTAAACAGTATGAAGAGACATGAACTACAGCTAAAATCTTACGATCAGTTCTTAAAAATACAGCATTTTTGTGAGAACTTACACTTCAGATACAGAGATTAACTCAGTCTTGATGTAGCCAGTTCCCTTGGGACCATCCAAATCCATTGGCTCTGGTGCTTCAAGAGGAGAAAAAAAAAAAAGCCTGTGGTTTTTTTTCCCAGCAAGTTTACATCACATTTTCACCTTATTTTACCAAAAATACAGCCTATGACCCAGATAATGTGCAAATCTCTCTGTTATGCATTTTACAGCACTATGGTTAATTTATTACATTTTTAGTCAGTTTTTCCTGTTCTCCTATACAAAACGGCAAAGAAACCCCTCCCATAACCAGTCATGGTCGGGGCTGTTAGTGGGAGCCTAAATTTCTGGAACAGCTCACAGGCTCACATGACAGCCAGTGACAATTAGGGGTTTCAGTTTTTGGTCTGATTAAGTCTCATGTTGTGCCTATATAAAAACAGACTTTTCTTAACCTATAAACATGGGATGGGCTGCCAAGGCATTCAGGCCAACTGCTCCGTTTCTTTCCATGCCCCAGGAATTGTGCAGTGCCCCAGCAGCTGAGGAAAAGGCAGACAAGCTAAAAGGCAGGAGCCCCACACAGCACTCACCCTCCTTGGGCCTGGAGTAGTACTTGCCAAAGGCATTGTCCTTGGGGATGTTGGGGTACAGGAACCTCAGAGGGTTCTCGGGGATGTTTTCGGCTGCCATCACTTTGTAGTTGCGGATGATGTCGGGGAAGGTCACGGCAGAGAGCTCCTTCTTGGTGTAGGGCTCCACCGAGTGGAACTGAGGCTCTGCTGAGGAGAGAAGCAGCACTTTGTAAAGCTGGCTTCAAAGTTTATTTCTGAAAGTGTTCAGAAAAGCTGCAGCCACTTCCAACAAATTCAGAGTTCACATCAGCATAAGCCTTGCCTGGATGATACCTACAGTGCTGCAGGAAATATTTAATTCCTGCCAAAGGGAGCACAATTGTTCTGTGGGGTAGGGAGGCATGAGGGGATAGCACACAGTGAGGGCTCTTAGTGTGCTGTGTACTCAGAATGACTGGTGTGACTTGTCCATGGAAATTACTGCAATGTTTCATTAAGTAATTTAGGTTGTGCTGCCTTTTAACCTTCTTCCAAATTATGTAATTCAAACTCTGCTGTCTGTTAGGGAGTTTGATCCAAATACACCACCTGAGGCTTTCATGAATCATCAGGAGAGACATATAAGCCTTCCTGAATGCTGCAAATACTATCAACCTTCTTTGAACTTTTGGATGTTTCAGGAATGAAGGCAGCCAAGGGAAAGAAGGAAAGAAGTCACCCTTCAGTACATCAGCAGTTTCTCTTCCACCTGCTGCTGCTTTTGGGCTCATCAAGGTGAAGTGTCAACAGCTGCCCCACGCTGGCAGGTGGGGCTGGTAGGGAGTGTGATAAGGGGAGAGCCCTGACTGGGTACAAGGGAGGCTTTAGCTTGTGGCTGTGATGCCTCCAGGCTTCCTTAGGAGAGGATGAGAACCAGTCCAGCTCACAGAAGAAGGAAGCTCTTCACTGATCCATTTGGCCAAGGGGAGGAAGGAGAACTATTTGGAAAATGAGTGAGTACATAATTTATCCAGGGGGAGCGTGGGAAGGAAGGAAGGAAGGAACAAAAGCTGCACTTGGGCTTGGAAGGAGATGCAATTGTGTGAGTACTAAAGGCTGGGAGAGAGCTTAAGGAGGCAGGGAAGACAGTCTGGGCAGTTTTTCCTTTCCAACTTCCAGGCCAGAAGCAGGGCTGGGAAGTGCAGCTTGTCCTAGCTGAAACCTTGATCCATTGATTGTGTGGTTTGAGTTACCCCAAGTATGGTGTGTCCCTGCTACTGCTTGTGCCCTGCTGCTGCCAGGGGTGTTGTGCTGGTCCTCAGGGGGAGGAGAAGGCCCCAAAGACTTCTTGTTCTGGTGCAAGCAGGTCAGCAAAGGTTCTCTGTTGCTGACTTACCATTCTGAGACTCCTCTACCCAGGTAAAGGTGATTGCTCCCTCCCTGCTGCTTTCACTGAACCTCAATAAAAATGTTCCTGGGCTCTGGTCCTTCAGCAGAGCACGTTCTCTCTCTTTGCTGATGAAGCCCACAATGCAGCTGTAATGTTGAAAACAAAGAGCTGAGTTACTCCCCAACATAAAAACGAAGCTGTGCTGTGCTAGCTAGGAAAACTAAAAAGCTTTGCCTCACTTAAAAGAGCTGAAGTGCTGGTGGAAGCCTCACAGAAGGCTTTGTCCTGTGGACAGCTGGCAGCAGGACTGGCTGGCTGCAGTCAGGGGGTGATTCATGCCTCGTGGCAGTGTGAATCACCACAGCTTCCCTCAGCACTCTCACTTCAGCCTGGGGGCTTAGACAAACATCCTTCTGCACTTGGAACAAGAATGATTGTCCATTCTGCTCTCAAAGCTGGGCTGTGGGAGCAGAAGTGACATTCCATGTGTGTAACAGGGGCAGACCCCAGCCAGCAGTAAGTCCTGGGTTCAACAATATGCTAAAGGACAGTTGTTCCTCCTCTTTGGCTGATGAAACAAACTTTGCTGGCTGCCAGATTACTCTCTTACAGGTGTGGGGTTTGCTTTGGGCCTTGAGCTTGTTTTCTACAGGAGCTGTTAAACTTTTGTGACTTTTTCACTGTGCTCAGCAAATGTTCCTGCATGGACTAGGAGGCTGGTGTGGTAGTTGTAAGAGATTGATTGATCTGGACAGGCACTGAGGAGGGAGTTATTCAAGTCAGTACCTGGGTACGACCCTGGCCAAGCCCCAGCTATTTGGTTTGGGTTGCTTTGTTGCTTGGTATTTTGCTTGTGCCGGTGCTTTTTTTTTCCCCAAGGTTTTCTCTGTTCCTTATTCCTCAAAATACTCCATCAATAATGATCTTTTGAGTACTATGACTGTCCTCGAGTGCATTAAGTTACAGAAAGTGGGTTTTGCACAAAAAACCCCTAAACAAGCATTATTTTGCTTAGAGTTTCAGATGCAGTGAGCTGCCCTGTTTTATGGGGTTTGATTGGTGAGTTTTGTGTTTTGCTTGGTTTAAATGCCATGCTTTAGGTAACAAATGTGTTCAGTAGTCAATATCCTGTGTGTGAGGGAAGTCTTCTGCCTTCCTATCTCTCAAGTATGAAGAAAGGCAAGTGTTCTTGAGGTTGTATTTACTCTTTTGTATACAAGGGCAGTCTCTGCTCTTCCAGTCTGTCCCAAACCCACATGTAATCCCAGGCCCAGAACTGCCACTCTGCTTCAGGAATGGTGACAAATATTGCCACTGCACTGCAGCACAGAAAGGGGGAGGTTTGGGGCAGGGAAACAAGGCTTGTACTGCACAGGGCTTTGACAGAACTCTTCTGGAACTGGGGGGCAAAAATGTGAAGGCCACTGCTGAATGCAGCAAGGCAAAGCAATCCTGCTGCTGCAGAAGTGTGAGACACCAGGATGCTCCACTGTGAGTGTGCTGTTTGATGAGGTTTCATAACGTGGCTAAAATTAAAACCCAGGATTGTGACCTTGGATAAGCCTAGTTTGGGCAGAATTACATCTGAAATCGGAAATCCCAGAATGAAAAGTTTACTAAACCAGTATTAAAAGGGCAAATGGAACTGTGTTCCCATCTGGCAGAGTCCTTCTACTTGGTAATACTCTAAAAAAATCAGTGAAGACTGCCGGGTTCTGGGCACACGGTGCAGGCAGAGCGTTCCGAGCCTGGCTGCTGCCACCTCCAGGCAGCTCACAGTAACTCTCCTCGGGCAGGGAGCTGGTTTGGGGTTTTAAATGGGTATCACCAGGACTTACATTTTCTTGCGCTTCAGTTTTTCTTGGCTGTGTTCTAGGATGTAGGAAGAACCGACTAAGAGTGGGAGCAAAGGCAAAACAAAATCTAATCTAACATTCAAAGCCCTACTCTGTGACTTAAATGGGACAACTTGGTGATCTGATGTTCTTGCTTTTAGTAGTTCCTCATCAGAGGATTCCTCCCTACTAGAATTCATTTGCTTCAGATTCTTCCAGTTTCAAGATCTACCCTCTGCACAAACAACCTCCCAGCCTGAGTGTGCAATTGCTAGCCTAAAAGTGAAGTCTGAGGCAATGACCACATCTTTAAATTCACTAAGGTCTTACCCATCATTCCAGAGACACAGGAGATGTTTCTTAATAAGCTCCAGGATTCCCTCAATCCACAGCCAAAAGGGGAAATTTTTATCATTTATGTTTTCCTGAAATTCAGAATATGTAAAGGCAGGGATGGGAGGGGGGGAACAGGGATAATGAGACATGAGTTAAAATGCCTGTCTGAGCCTCCCGTACCCACAAATGTGTGATCCATCACCTCTCCCATGTGACAACACTGGTCTAAGAGCAGATAAAAAGCTCTTGTGCCAACAGGGATAGCCTGGGTGCTATTGGAGTTGTGGGACATGCAAACCCATGCCACTGGGGTTTTCTGACTGGGCTGGCTAGCAGAAAACCTGAGAGACACTTTGTGTTGAGACTTGGATCTCAATGTCTCATGAGGCATCAATGGATTAGAGTGCTTGTAGGTCACCAGAGCCTTGCTTTTCCCCTGGACTCTGCTCCTGGTTGTTGTGATCTTCTATTTATCTACACCAGCTTAGGGTCTAAAGCTGAAAAAAGTGAAGAGTCCTCTTGTCTTGCTTCAGCAAGGGTTGTGAAATTCCATGATGTGGCTTTCTGTCATACTGACCCTCTTGGCCACCCCACGTTAATCCTCACCCTGGTCCAATTTCCCCTGGTCTGGGGAATGTCCTTCACTAAAATACAGAAGATCTATTCATCTTGCTGGTTTTTTGTTTACATTTTCTGTAATAGTCAAAATGGAGAGCTATTCTATTAAGAGCAGCTGCATTAATAATAATGGAGATGCTGTGTTTGAAAGATACATTTTTTTCCTATGGAGTTTACATGAATCAAAAACAGTCTCAAAATCATCTACTCCTTGCCACTGCAAGCTCTTTTTCCTCCTGCTGCTACTTTAACCTCACCACCAAAGCCTCCCATGACCATGTAAGGGCTAGAATAATTAGGGGATGCTACTAGAAAAGTAGGCACCCTGGGGGGGAAATCAAACAAAACCACAAAAAAGAAAGATGAGATCCCTCTTCCACCTCAGTTTTTACAATGGTGTGCATACCTTGCAGAATCTTGTCCAAGGAATAAGGCCATCTTGAGATCCTCCAATTGTTGGCCCTGAACACAATAAATTTGAGTTGAGTCATGTTCCATAAGTTAGTAAGGCTAAAAGTACTTAGCAAACCAAGTTGAGAGTGTTTGTTTGGAAGGCAGCTGTTGGACTACGAAAGAGGAGGAAGGGCAGGCTGCTGTGCTTTCACAGCTACTGCAGGGGAGGCTGCCAAGTTCCCCTCTGGGAGGTTTTACAGCACCCCAACCTGTGTGAGCAGCCCTGGTGTCATGGGAACCAATCCATCCTGACACTTGCTGTGCTGTGCTGCACCAAACACTTGCCAGCTTCAAAATGCTTCCAGGAAGGAAAATGAAGCCTTGCACAGTTCTTGCCAGCACAGCAAGAAGGCTGCAGCCCACAAGCTCCTCTGCAGGCTCAGCAGACCCTGCAGCATCTCTCTAAGATTGAGCACTTCCCTACCTTGATTCTGGTGATTTGCAGGATTTTGCCCCAGAAACTCTTGATTGTAATTGGGTCTACCCCAACCACAGACTCATCTTATTTCTGTTGCAATTGTTTCCTTCAGCCTTGTTTGTATGTTCACAGTGTTTCATAACCACATCCAAAGCACAAAGAAAAGTGATATGCTGGGCCTACAGTAGCTGGGAGCTTTGCAGACCCTGACTAGTCAGAGCCAGATTCTTCCCATTAAGGATTGTGCCATTGCTTCCCATAAATATGCTTTTCTCTGTCATTTTTCTAAAAATAAACTGGGTTAGGGAGCTTATTACTGATACTGCTGGTGTTAAAAGATGAAGATTCTGCCCACTTTGATATTGCAAAACCAGCAGCCAGGTTGTGCCCTGGCACCCTGCTGGTTCTGTCTCTTGCACTGAGGAATCCTGAATATAGTGTTCAGCAAGCAGGATTTTTTTTCAGCTGGGTAATATTTTTATCTATAGAGATAAGATTTAAGTAGCAACCCTACCAGAGCTCAACAAAGCCCCTGTAGTTCTGAAATGCAAATTTGCCACAGAAATATATCACTGGTCTCTTTGTTGGTTAGTTAAACAAAAAAAAACTATTTTCTTTGTAGAAATTTGAAAAGGAATCTAATAAATTAACAGCTTTTTGTCAGATCTTATGTCTTGAGGAAATTAGAGAGTGGAATGCTGAATACCTGCCATCTAGACACACTAATCTCAAATGCTTTTAAATATAATTTTTTCCCTGAAACTTAAGGTTGATGAAACATACTGAATCAATATTATTTTTCATCTAGAGTCTACTGTGCAAAATCAGTAGCAGTGTAAAGTGCTCTGCCTATTCAGGCAAACTGCAAGGAGTTTGGAAACAAAACCCATGGCTGATGAGGCTTTTATTAAGGACCCTCATGTGGGAGATAATTCAGTTTGCTATTCTTTAGCAGTTTCATAGTGTTTGCATGCTGACACTGCAACTGTGTTTATGCAGAGTGAATCCCCACTGTAGCTGGGGGCATGCATGAAGTTAAAATGAATGGAGGTGGATTTAAAAAAAAAAAAACCCAAGGGATGCCAACGAACATCCACTTCACAGACTGACTAAACATGAGTGTTACTTCAAAAGGCAGAATCAGGCTCAGTCTGTGGTGCTCTAATGCATAAAACTCCCAAGTTAGAACTGCAGATTTTTTCATGACATGATCTCATTTACAAACCCTGCCATACTGAAAAGTGGAAAATTGCTACAAAGTTATATGGTAGGAGGGGGAAAGCTGTGAGAGGAAAGGAAAACTTAAAATGGGTTGCAGGAAAAGATGCAGAACTAGCTTCAGTTCAGACAGGCCATCTGTGATGAAAGCAGACCTTACCAAGAAGCTTCTCCCCCAGCATGCTCAGCTGATCTGCATTAAGTCCTCTCTTTGTTACAGAAGAAAACTGCCAGCTCAGAACATCAGAAAGCTTAGACCACTTTGCACAAGGTGGATTCAGAAAGAAGGACAGGTTCTAGAATGGAACAGACAATACAAGCTATGGTCAACAAACATTAATCTTGGAATGCCACGTGAATTTTTGTGTTGCCCAAACAAGCTCCAGGTTTAAGAATGGATGTCAGCTTGAGATAACTCTGCAGAAGCAGGCAGCTGTACTTCCAGGCACTCTTTACCAGGAAAAGCAATCTCTGGGGCTCTGGACAGGTCTCCTCCCAGCAGGCAGAACTGCTGGATTACTCAAGTGCACCACAATTGAGTTCTTCAATGTTCATTTGGCTTCTCACTGTGAGCTGTATGTCCTGAATACATGTACACTACCCTTCTGTGGATTTCAAGTATTGCTCTGTTTAGGTCAGGGAAGTCACTGCCCCCCTCTACACCTGAAACTCATTAAGAGTCACCTGCAGAGCTCAAATGCAGCAGCCACTTGCAAACATTGCTTGAAAACTAGACATAGTACCTGATAAAACATCTTTTTTTTTTTTTCTTGCAAATACCTTGGGATCAGTAGACAGCATGTTGAACCACAAGATAGAAGCCCATCCACTGGGAAGCTGGCTCACATTTGAGATCACAACAATGGGAAGGGATGTGGTCTGAAAGGAGCACAAAAGCAAACATGTCAGGTTACCCTGCACTGTGGCCACAATCCTCCTTGAGATTATCCACACACTCATTTCTGTTTTAATTCCCTGCTTGCATAATCTTGACTTTTTCTGTAAAAGTTTGTATGTAGGGGAGAAAGTATGATGAAATACTGGAAATACTGGGTGATTTTTGTCTAAAAAGGACTTTCATTTGTCAGTTATCCCAGCACTGATAGTGACAGTAGAGTTCACAGCAGACTGCTTCTGAAATAAATGTAAACTGATAACCAACCCTGTGGTTTCAGCCCTCTAGGTACCAGACATTTTGCAAAGCACATCTATTCATATTTACCCAGAGATCTGACAGAATTCTCTCTCTATGTCTATACAGAGTTGTTGTGAAGTGTCATTCCCATAATTTGAAATAACTGAAAGTACGTGATATCCCAGTACTTAAAAAAACAAAAAAAAAAACAAAAAAAAGAGAGAAAAAAGTAAAGATTGTTAGCACAAGTGACACACAGGAACTGAAGTGCATCAGTTTGATCTAAGACTTACCTCTAGGTCTATTACTAAACCAGGCTGGCACAGCTGTGTCTCAAAACTCAGAGAATGAAGCTCTTCTGTCACAATCAAAGGACCCTTGAAAAAAATACAAGAACTTTTCAGGGACTGAAAATTCCTAGGGTAAAGTAATGGGGTTTTATCATGGGGAAAACCTTTGTCTGCCCATGGTCACAGGCTCCAGACCTCAGTAAGAGCTTACAGTCAAAGTCAAGTGACAGTGCTGGCTTCCTAAAACTGCCTCTCCTGGCATATTTTTTGGTTTTTTTGTGGCTACTACCTGTAAGGCATAGAAAAATCTGTGCTTGCCAGGAAGCCCTGTTAAAGGCAGATGCCAGTGTGGGAGTCCCTCACTGCGATTTTGGCAGTAACTCTCCTTGCAGGCTCTTCCTATAGGGATCACTCTGTAGAAACACTGAACTCCTCTCCCATGATCTCTCATCCCACGTGTGTCTTCATGGGTCTGAGCAGAGAGCATTACCTTAAATGAATGCCTTGTTAGTATTCTGCTCAAACTTTACAGAGCAAAGGTTAGTGCTGCTTACCTCATTTGTTCTGCTCCCTGTGTTTTTCTGTTCTTTCAGTTGCTGCAAACAAACAAAAAACCTGTCACTCATTTATGGCAGCCACAAATGGAAGTGGTAGAGTTCCACTTGCTCAACTGTATGCAAACTTGCTGCACTAGTGTCTGATTCTATTTGGCTCTAAACTGTGGGAGCCAAAGCATTAAACTGTAGGTAACTACTACCCTTTTACAGACTGTTCATCTGTGAAAAAAGATACTGCATGGTTATGTTGCAGTGCCTTTAAGCAAGAAGCCTTTTAAGAACAGAAGCAGTATGAAATCAGGATCAGATGGAATACTGGTTTATCAAAGTACCCCTCTGAATCAGATGACAAACTCTAGACAGCCTCAGCTCTGGACAATGAAGGTAGAGTTCCATGTTCCCTGGTTCTGGACTTGCACTTTTCCTGCTGTCGTGATGGAACCAGAGTGTTCCCTCACAATCTGCAGATCAGAAGAGCCCCATAGCCTGCCAAAGGCACTGACTCTCTTGCAGCTGCACACTCTTTGATAATTTTCATCTTCCAGACTCAAAGCTCTTTAAACTATTCCAGACTTCCCTACCTATGGACCTTCCTCTGAAAGAACCAAACCAGCCTTTCTAGGCTTTCTTAACTTCCTTCTCCCAAGAACCTATTTCAGCATAAGCTGTATGGCAGCAAATATTCTTGTTTGCACTTCTGTCCCTTTTTCAGTGACAAGCAATCACATTTTGATTGATTCTGATTTTGAAACAGGCAAAAAATATTTTTAAAAGGACAGAAAAAAGAAAAAGGAGAGATAATCACAGTTCCTCTTTACACAAAAAATGAATAATGACTTCAATAACAAAAGCAATTTGTTTCCTTCCTACCATGCTCTACTGCAAAATTAAGTGGCTGTATCAGTAATAGAAAGAAAAAACCAACCCCCTACCAAGTGCCTGAATTCTGCTGATAGACTTCCATTAGTAGATTCTTCCATGTTCATTACTTTTGTGTTTGTTCCCAAAATATTAAATTTCCTGAACCTACACAAAGAGAGAGAAAATGTAATTAAATCTCTCATTCATTGAAAGAACCTAATGTTAATATATCAAACTCTGATGCCACATACCCTTTGACCGAGTTCTTCTCAGTTACATCTCTGTCAAGAAAAAAAAGGACAAAATAATATTTTAAAGATTGTGCCAAAGATACAGAAAATGTGCATGTTTTAGTAGCTGACAGTGCTGACTGAGAACTGGTAAAATGCTTTTGTGAAAATCTTGTGCAAAAGATGAGGCAGTTGGCTAAAGCAGTCAAAATAAATATTGTGCTACACAGCCTGTGTTTTACTGAGGCTTGGTGTTGCTATGGGGGCTTTATAATCAAAAGAAGTACTTTCTTTTACTATAAAGATTGTAACTCCTGTTCTGAGAAAAAAAAATAGAGTTCTGCCCCTCTAAATCTGCATTTAAACTTGCTGGATAAATTGCTGCATCACTTGAATTGGTTTTCCCAGCACTTGGGATTTTACTGAGTTGCATTCTATCTAGTGCACTTAAAGACTTGCACATAAGAATTCCTTTTTTTACTTTTTTACTGTTCTATGCAAGTTTCTGGAACCTAGAGCCATTTCAAGTGAACAAAAATCTGGGAAAGCAACTGGGCTGGGAAGACAAAAGCCCACTTGCTTTCTTGAAAGCACAGTCCCTGCCATCATTTTGGACAGCCTGTCACATTTCTTTGCCTGTCCTTGAAGTAAGTGCAAAACTCATCTGAACTTCTTACAAAATACAACAGATTGGTATTAATCTGTTTCAATGGCTGTAATTTTTTTCTCTGATTGAGAACATCTCATGTTACAGGTAGGCAGATTATACCCCTTCTTCAAAGGCAGCTTGAGAACTATATTCTGTACTAGACTCTACCCAAAAAGGAAGGGATTCTAGAGGTGACTGAATTATGTGACGAGGAATGGTGGAGTCCAATTGCACACTGTCACTCCTGCTAATGCAGGTGAAACACCCCAGCAGAGTGGCTGTTGCCCAGGTGCTGCTGTGTCTGATTTAGCAGTAGTGAGCTCTTCTCTGTGGAGCTGATGGTGAGAAGTTGAGGCCATCTGCCCTTTGTGACATGTCTCTGGTGGCAGAGAGAGATTTAGAGCAAGGGAATGGGTAAGGAAAGGGGAAGGATGTACCTGCTGCCACAGAGAACCAGCCTGCTGCTGGCCTATCAACACTTCTAATGTGACTGCTTTTGGGTTTCTAAATGTGGGAACTGTTTACCATTACATAAGAGGGATGAAATAAATGCAACATACTTGTCAAATAAAACTTTCACTTTTAGGTTGTAGTTCAGTTCCTGCAGTCTCACCAGCAATCTGGAAAGAGAAGTATGTTTTTTTAGCATCAGCAATTGAAAAATATGGGTTCTTTTGTATTGTGTTGCTTACCACAGATATTTCAGCACACTCAGGGGCCAGATGCAGGCTCCATACCAGACAGCATTTAGAGATAAAACTGAATGGGCAAATGAGTTACTCTTTGGCATGGCAAAGCGCTCTGCATGTGTCTTCTTGCTGCTTGGTTGTGTTTGTGACACACTTGGTACACCCCCCTTCTGGGAAAGGGTAAAAGCTGACTGTGAGTCAAGTTCTGGCAGAAGAAAGCCCCTGCCCCTGGCACTTCCCTCCTGCCTCAGCCCCTGGGCTGCAGGGCAGGCTGTGCAATCCTCTGGGCTGCAGGAAGCCAGTGACGGGAAAGCCTTACCACAAAAAAGGAACAGGGAAAGGGGAAAACATACCTCAGCTTCACAGTGAACTGCACTCCTGTCTTCAGGACTAGTGGCCTCTGAGGATGTGTTGGCATGCAAGGCTGCCTCTCTACCACAAAGGAGCTATGGGAAGAACAGGTTAAAGGCACTATGATTTATCTGTACTGCTCTTAAATAAAAAAAACACATAAAAGTAAACTTTAAAAGAATGCTGATTTACCAGTAATACTATACACTTTATTCACTTAGCTTCAATCTGCACAGAGGTGTGTGACTCAGCTCCTTTCAATTGTTATAATGGGGCTAGAAATGGTGATTTTTTTGTGTTGGCTTTTCTGCAATGCATTGATGGCTTGAGCAGGGAGATTGCTACGTCACACTTCCCTGAAATCAAACAACAAGGAAACACTGTGCTGCAATTAGCATGGTGCAAGTGAGGAGTGTTGTTTTGTTTGCCATTCCCAGGGCTTCCTGAATTCTTACAGTGACAGTGCTGTGTAACAACACATGCCCAAAGCACGGATAAAATAGCAGGGGATTTGATGAGGGCCAGCTAACCCAATGAAACAAACTTTTGGGGCTAGCCTGTTTTGATACATTCCAGATTTTTGCCTACTGTGTGTTTACAGAATAGGTTTCTGGTCTTCTGTGAGGCACCTACCAGCTACAGTAACTTGGACCAAAAAGGTGGTACAGAGGCAGGGCTGGCCTCCTCGTTCTGGAGGCAACGATGACGTGTCCAGTGACAAAGGACTGGAGAATCTAGTGTGTATCTATGTTGGGCACAGCTTGATGCAGATTGTTTCTTTCCTCTCTTCACTTGAACTTTGAAGCTTGAAGTGAGATGTGGACTAACAGACTGAGAATTTGACTCTGTAATCAACGTGTACTGCAGGAAAGCTCCTGCTAACTTCAACAATGACTGAGCATAAACCCTTTCCATAGGCCTGAAACTGTGGAAATCCTAGATGGGGTAAATCTCAAACCCAGTAATTCAGTTTAATGTTTGACAAACTTAGGAAAACCTTGGAAAATGAAAAGATACGATGTAGGAAATACTGAGGGAATGGTAGGGAAGGTGCTCTTTGTCTATTTATTCATGGTAGCACCAAAAGATCCTTACAGTCTATTACCTTTGGATGAGCTGCTGGAAAAGCTTGTGTGTTAGGTCCTGCAGAAATTGTTTATTTTTTGTGATGGGATCAGGGTCGTAGGTGAACTTCTGTTCCAGTTCCTCAAGCTTCTTGAGCTGCTGACGAACTTGCTGTAAGCTTTCAGCAACAATGGTGAACCTACAATTGACACAATCTCATTACTTTGAGCACTTTTTAATATTTTACCAGTGCAGAGGCACCAGCCAGGTGAGTATCTCTGAGGATGTGGCAGTGCCTGGAGTACACTTTGTGGTGAGGTAATAAAATGAATGCAGTTATGCTAAGAGAGAATGGAAACAGATCATATAAATAATCAATATATTTCCTAGATGTGGTGCTCCTTCATGACATGGTTTAAATGTGGTCTTACCAGTTCTGCAGCTGGTCAAGGCAGGCGTTGGGTGGCCCCCCAATGCACGCTGTCTGCTGCCTGTGCTTCCACTCCACCAGCTCTTCATTAATGAGGGCAGCCTGTGTGTGCTCTGTGCTCTGCAGCAGCTGCACTATCTTATTCACCACCTCCTGCACAGAATAGGAGATTACCCTGTTTATTAGAAATACTGCACACAGGAGAACTAAGTACTGTTTCAGTTAGTGCTCATCTGTTTTGCAAAACTCTGCAAGTATCTCAGTTCAACTGACATGTTAAAAAACCTTTCCTACTGCTAATTTATGTCAATTCAATGAAAATGAACATGTGCTTAAGATGAAGAGCTGCTGACTTCTGAAAGAAAACTTGAATGCTACCTTTCTCTTGCGGTCCAGTGATAAGAACATGTGCTGGAGATTCAGCTGCTCTTTCTTGTATTCCTCCTGAGACATACTATTGGACTCATGTTCTGTAAAATAAGTCCAGATTGGGAATGTGAGGCTGAAGGAGTGCTGAAGGAGGGGAGGGGGAAATGCTGAGGTGGGAAGGGGACAAATACAAAAAGCAAGATGCTGGCTCAGTGCTTCCCTTAGTACCTTCTGAACATGTCCCTGTTCTAAGGGAGAGTCAGCTCTGCCAAGCTGCGTTAGAAACTAAAGCCTTTTCTGGAACAAAGAATTCAACAGCAGAGACAGAGCTGTATAATGAAACCAGGGTGGACTCTGTGGGTTTCCCTTGGTACACAAGAGCCTACAAAACCTAAAGCTGGTTTGGCATTTGTGAAACATCACTAATTAAGTGTATGGCAGAATGGTTACAGAGCCTATAGGGTTTGCTACTTCTAGTGGCAAAGGAATGCTGTGTTAACAAGGAGACTCTCTTACTTGGAACAAAAGATTCTTACTTGGAACAAAAGACATGCAGAAATTTAGCTGTCAGAGTGAAGCAGAGTTAATCAACAAGGGACATTACCAGTAGGTTTGGCTGTGTTATCATTAGGCCCAGTGCCCTGACACAAAGAGCAGTTTACCCTGACCAACTAGACACAATAGGGGATGTCTTTGGAAAATGACTCACCTCTGTTCTGCAGGGTTTTACATTTGAAGTCGTATTCATCTTGCATATCCTCTAATGTCTTGATGTCCTGCTCCACATCCTGTAATGCACAATTGAGGGTGACCACAATTATTTAATATTTTTAATTAATGCAAGACTTGATCTGATTAGGAACTGCCTGGTACCAGCTCTGACAGATATGAAGTCCACTTTTATAGCAATGTCTGTTCCTGGACTAACAGGAAATATTTCTACATTTTATCACCTTCTATTCATCCTTCTTGTTTCTCAACTAACTGAAATCTGTTAATTATAAAGTATGGAAATGCCCTTGGGGTCAAGCCATCTAAGTTCACAGAGTTTATGAGAACCTAGGCTACATAGCATTTTAAACTTTCAAATTCTTACATACTATTTGGAGAAAAGCTTTCTGTTGTGACTGTATTTATTAAGAAAAATATCTATATACTAAAAAAGTACATTTTCTAGTTAGCAACAAACTGGTCAGTTATGATTTAAGAGGTTTTTTTCCCCTCAGTTGCTAGTATTTCACATGGGTGAAATGCTTTTGTTGCTGAAGTTTAGGTACAAGGCATTTCCTATGCTCAGGAAATCCCCAGTTTATAGACTTGAAAACCCCACCTTACTTTTATTTGTCATTTTATCAAGTCTAATTTTTAGCATCTGCAAATCAACAAACCCTACTGAGAAAAGTTATATAACACTTACTGTAACACTGCTTTTTACAGCCTTAACTTTGGCATCAAGCTCCTTCTGCTTGTCTGGCATCCCAGCTGCAGTGTTCTGTACATTCCCTACTTCCATCTGAGGGAAGAAGCAGAACAAGTCAAAACAGAGTGACCCATAACTTTTTTCATTACTGGAAATGAGTGGCATTTGTTGACAAACAACCTGAGGAAGCATGGCTTGTTCTGATGAATCATACTAAAATTTTGTAGTGGAAAAAAATCAAATTCAGGTGAATTTGAAAGAAACAAAGTATTTATTTTAGTATAGTGCCAGAGGTCCCCCATAACAGGTTTAAGTCAAGCTGTATTGGGCTTTGAGCCACCCAGTCTAGAGGAAGGTAGATGATCTCCAAAGTCCCTCCCAATCCAAACCATTCTGTAATTCCCTTTCCCTTTTTGATACACATTTATTGTGTACTGGAGAGGCAGCAGCAAGTGCTTTATGTCACCTGCCAGGACCAAACAGCTGTGCTGCAGCTCCAGGGGCTCTGTCAGAGTCACACTCTTAGAGCAGCTGCTTTGGACACTGCTGCAAAGGGCCCCTTGTTGAAAGCCCCTGCCCAATGCTCTTCCCAAGCTGCACCTTCAAAGCCTTTCTATAAATTGAGTTATTTCCTTATTGGAAATTAACATGCTTGGTCAGTCATCACTTCACTTGTACATGAGTGGATTACAGCTGTCTATAGATTCTGCATGCCCTTCCCAACTGTGGAATTTTTATTGTGAAACAGTTCTTGCAAAGGGAAAAAAAAAAAAAGGTGAGAAGCTGGAAAACAGATGATGGAGGAGAGGATATGGCTTTACCTATAATTCAGAAGAACAAAAAGGGCTTCACTAAAAAAATTACCAAAATTAGAAAGAAATACTTGGAGATAACTGGGAAGGAGAATGATGCATCACTTTTCCACAGATAGTCCAACGAAGCATGCTCAGCTGCTTAACAGAGAGTAAATTGGGGAGTAAAATGCAGAAAAACAAACTTAAAATCTTACTGCGTATATGAGTCAAGCACTTATTATTAAAATAAAATCCAATTGGCACAAAAGGCTATATCATACTACAGAAGCATTAAAACAACCAGCATAGCTTTTATGTCACTCAAGGAATAAAAATTATTTCCTGCCCATTTATCCTCCAAATACTTCATTCAGCAGAAAAAGCCATGCTGGTACAAATTAGTGTTCTCCAGCTGGTACATATCAGTGCTCACTCCTCTCTTTTTTTAAGGAACCTCTTATTGGGCAGACAGAGGATAGCCTGTTTGCCCTGCCAGTCTTCATCCACTTCCCTTGTCCCAAACAATAGGCAAGGGAAGATAAAACTGCAGCAGATATTTCAAGACTGTTACCTCATTGCATGCCTGGGCAGAGTTCAGTATTTTCCTCTCTTCTTTCAGACAGTTGTGGATGATCATTGCCATGTGTATTGGGTCTTCTTGGAAGTTATCCTAGCATTAGACACACAGTCTATTGTTAAAGTCCATACACATAATTTCTTGTCTTTCAGTAACTTGCAGATTGGCAAAAAAAATTAGGGTATGACCCCAGTGTGAGCCTCAGGGAACACACTGGTCATGGCCTGCTCCAGGATTACAGGGTGTGATGGCCACAACCAGCTCCAAGAGTGAGTTTGCATTGTAGTTCATTGGCATACAGAGACAGGAAAGGGTCAGAGACATTCCTGGGAGATGTGGGATACCACCCTACAGTCCTAGAGAGAGCTCATCCCTCAAGAGGCACCCTCCCACACCTTGCTATGGCTGCTGGTTTAACACACAGTCCAGGCAGGATGCAAATCCCACCTTACTGTTTTACCTGCACACAAAGCTAAAATGTGTCGTGGATTGAGTGCTGCCCTGCTCTGCTCAGGATGGTGCTACCCTGGGGGGGTTTTCTTTTCCCTAGAGTTCTCAGACTGTAACTGGGCTGATAATTAAACTCTAACTTTCTAACTGTAGCCAATCAAAACAAAAATGGAGCAACACTTGAATTCTGGCTTTTAAATCAGGATTCTCACACATCCTCTGTGAAAATCCCTCACAACAGGGTAGCTGCTTAGAGGCATCCAACTGCACTGAAGCAAATGAAGCACATGTATAGATATATAGATAACATATAGATGTGTAGATTGTACAGATAACCCAGGCCTACCTGAAGGTTACGTTTGCTTTTCCTTATGTTGTGCTGCAGCAAAAAGTTGTTTTCTATCAAGAATCTACTGAATTGATCATCAAGCTGTGACAGCAGCTCATGGAATAGGAGTATTGCAAATGATTCATTGTTGGCTGCATGTTCCCTGGAATCATTTAAAGCATGCTTGGGTTAGATACACTTCCACTGCAAGAGCCAAGAAATACATACAGGTGTACTTGATTTTTAATCCCCAACTCCAGTTGTAGAATATGCAAGCACTGAGAATTGCCTTCAACTGTAAGCCAGTTTCATTCTCTTAAATCACTTTACTTTCCTGGATACAGAGATGTTGTGTCTCTATTATTTTTGCCACATTCTGTTCAAATTCATTTACTCATTCCATGCACACCAGGAACCTCAAAGTGACCCTGATGTGTGTGCATGTTGTACCACCCCTCAAAGAGAAGCCACTCCACAGAAAGTCTGGCAGAAGTTCAGAGCCTTTGATGAGTGAGAGACTGATGCTACCAAGGCAGAAACTCGTTTGCTCTGGATCACTGAGAACATTATGAGCAAGGACACTTACTCCAGGTATCAGCCTCTCCAGAAAACCCTGAAGAGGGGCAGGAACACAGGCTGGAGCACCCACACAGCTACTGAAGCATCCCACCAGCAAAAGATCACCCAGCAGCTTGCTTGCTTCCCCAGCATTCTGCTGCTGCCTGTAACTGCCCTTCTGAGGGCACTGCTTATCACACAACCCAAAGCTGAATTAATTCCTGGGCTTACCAATCCTGGTTTTCCAGCCACTGTGCCAGGTACTGCCTGATCTCCATAGGAAAGCTGTCATCATACAGCTGGTGAACTTGCTCCAAAAACTTGGAATCCAGCTGCTGTAGCTGATACCACTGAGACATTCTGAGGAAGGGGTGAAAAAAAAAGTCACTGTAAATGTTTGAGTAGTATTTGGACTGAAGTGGTAAAAAATAACTAATTTGAAGTTTTCATGAACATTGACAGAATTGGAGGATGTGCTGATTTTGGCTGGGATAAAGTTTATCTTGCTCACAGTACCTAGTATGGGCTGGTTTGGATTTGTGCAGGAAACGGTGCTGGTAAGGCAGGGATGTTTTGTTACAGCTGAGCAGGGCTTACACAGCATCAAGGCCCTTCCTGCTCCTCACCCCAGCAGTGAGGAGGCTGGGGGTGCACAGGGAGCTGGGAGGGGACACAGCTGGGCAGCTGACCCCAGCACCAAGAGTGTGAGTGAAAAATTAGAGACCCCTCTAAGTGCCCATTTTCAGTTGCTATTTGTGTCCACACTTACCTGCTCTAAAAATGGACTACATCTCAAGTCACTTTAAATGCTGAAGGACTGGAAAGATGTTTTTTAATGTGTTTTAGTTCTCATGATCATCAGGCTAAATTCAAGTAACCTGTGCAGCAGATCCAGGGTGCTTAAATGAATTAAGACCGTGCAGAATGGCTTCTCTCAGTCCTAACACTTTTGTGTGAGTAGCTTTAGCTCTGATGTAGGGTCTCTAGAAGCAGATCACTTAGCCTTCTAAGGTGCAGGTTATCAGCTTGTAGTGGAAATGGCATGTAAAAATACATCCAAGGAACAGTCCAGGCTGAGAATATGAGTGGTGAGATGCAAATCCACTCACATCTTTGTTTTTTCATGGCTGCTTATAAGACCCATCCAAACAAACAGGGCAGCATCGGGGTGAAGGACTATCTTCTCTGTCTCTTCCTACCAGATCCTTTAGTTTTTATATGCCAGTGCCCTCAGCTGCTGAGTGTGATGTGTGCTAGGTGTGAGAAGCAAAGGAGTTAAAACTGTTATGTTTAAAGTGAGGGCTTGGATGAGGGCTTCTGATGCGTGCTTTTCAGATTACAGCTAACACAGCATTTGAGTGTGCCCAAATAGCAAGTCCCAGAGAGGGAGACTCCATGACCTCCCTGGGCAACTTGTTCCAGTGCTCTGACACCCTCAGTGTAAAGTTCTTCCTCATGTTGAGGTGGAACTTGTTGTGTTTTACTTTGTGGCCACTGCTTCTCACCCTGTTGCTGGGCACCACTGGAAAGAGTCTGGCACCATCCTCTTGGCAGCTGCCTTTGAGTTATTTATATGTAATGATGAGATCCCCTCTCGGTCTTCTCTACCCCAGACTAAACAGCTCCCGTAGTCTCTCCTTGTAAGAGAGTGCTCCAGATCCCTCATCATCTTTGTGCCCTTTGCTGGACCCTCTCCATCAGTTCCTGGTGGTTTTTGTACCTGGGCACAGCACTCCAGATGTGCCTCACTAGGGCTGAGCAGAGGCGGCTGATGGCCCCTCTCGGCGTGCTGGCCACCCGGTGCACCCCAGGGCTCCTTCCCGGCCCTCCTCTACCTCCTTTCCTGCCCTTCCCGGGGATCGCGGCCGATGGGGAGCAAAGGGCGCGGGCAGCAGTCCCAGCGCTGGGCCGGCTCCGTGCCCGCGTTCCCCGCGCTGCCGGCCGGCCCAGCCCAGCCCCTCGGGCGGGTGTGAGGGAGGGAAGGAGCGGCGCACCTGTTCGGCAGAGGCTGCCCAGCGGTGCTGGAGGCGCGGGATCAGCGGGAGCAGCGTCAGCCGGGCTGGGCACAGGGTCCGCTTCGAGCGCTGCCGGGCAGGGCAGGTCTGGAGAGGGTGAGCTGTGGAGAGCGAGGAGTTGAGAGCGGCTGCGGCAGCGGAGCGGGGGTGTCCCTGCCAGGAATGAAGGAGCCACCTCCTCTTTCCCCAGGTGCAAGGACACCAAAGCGCAAAGCTCGGTGGGTGTCTCCCGGGAGCGATCTGAGGAAGCGACAGCTTTAGTTACACCGGGCATTCACCCCGCCAGCCCCCGAGCGCGGGCAGCGCCATCGTCCCCTGAGCGCGGGCAGCGCCATCGCCATCCCCCGGCCCCTCACGCCCGCTCCCCTCACCTCACCCGGGCTCCGGCTCGGCGCTGTCACGGTGCCGGCTGCGCTCGGGGAGCCGCGCGCCCGCCCCAGTGCGCGTGCGCGGGGGCGGGCCGGGGGCGTTCCCGGGCGGAGGGAGCGTCACGTGACTTCTGGGAAAGGCGGCGAAGGCGAAAGCGAAATCAGTGTGGGGCCTTGAGGGCTCCTGAGGGCAGCGGGGGATCTTGAGGGCGGGGGGGTGCGCGGCTGCCCCGGCTCCTCGCTCCACCACGCCGGCCCGCTTGGCCAGCCCCGGCGCCCATAAACTGCAGGCGGCTGAGCCTTCCCTTCCCTTCCCTTCCCTTCCCTTCCCTTCCCTTCCCTTCCCTTCCCCCAGCGTAGCCTTTTTGGGTTTTGTCTGGTGTTTGAAGCCGACAAAGAGCAGGATGTTGAAGTCCAGGCTTTGCTGTGGGTTTTCAAGTGTAGTCTGTGCCCCTTCCCTCCTCAGGTGGAGGAGGCAGGTCTCCATGAAAAAAATAAAGTAGGTCTGTTTGGTGAATGTCGTGGTGTGAAATACTGGGGAGTAGTAGATCTATAAACATGTCTATGAATAAAAGCTATGGAAGAAGATAACTGACAGGTTTTATGTTTTTTAAATTAGGATCGTTACAGTGTCACACCAAGACAAAGTACAAAAGCGTCATGTTTTTTTACTTTGTCATTGCAAAACCCAGCAAAAACACAAGCACAGTTAGTAGAACTCCTTAAAAGCAGATTCTTTTTCTGGTTGCATCTCAGCACCCCGTTTTTGTGGTTTTCACTGGAGAGCTGTGTTCTTATTCATCATGGTATAAGGACAACATTCTCACTTTTTTAATGGAAGGAGTTTTGGACTGTGTGTGTTCATCCTACAGATAAATTATTCCAGTCTTCCTTTAAAGCAGTGAAATGATCTCAAGGCAGATCTTTTCAACAAAACATTAAGTCTACCCTATGCAGAAATCTGTTCTGAAGCAATAGCAGGAAGTGTCATGCCAAAACCTGATCCATGGTGCTGTTCAGAAACCCCAGTTATATTCAAGTTAATACTTGAGAGTCTTGAAGGGTTGCCTTGCATGGAGAGCAGGAAAGAAAGAAAAAGCAGACTGGTTCTCATGCCGCGTCTGATCTTGTCTTACAGTATTTCTCGTGAACTTGAGGTGGTCAAAAATAAAAGTATCCCCCGTTTTGTTTGTATTAAAATTGTGAGAAGAAGTAAGAATGAAAAGGCATGCAACAGCTGATGTCAGGCAGGTCATGTTTCCTGCTTTGGAATTGTGCTACTGTCTGTAGCTCAGTTTAAGGTCAACCAAAAGGCTGCAAGACTGTTTTTGCTGTGCCTTGGAAAAAATCCACAGTCTGGGTATGCAGCCTGAAGCCAAAATCAGATTTTATTCATGCTGGTTATATAAATTACAGATATTACCAAGCTATATACAGAATTGCTTTTCTTTTTTATTTTCTACAGGATGCTTGCTGAACTTACATGCAGCTTGCTTTGAATCACTCAGTGTAATGAACAGAGATGTGCCTGTTTCTTTGAAATTCACTTCCATGTATCACAAAAATATCTCATTACTTTGTTTCCGCTTACTCACTTTCAACTAACCTAAATAGCATGGGTGAAAGGAGAAATGAAAGTAAAATCTATGTCTTAGTGATTCAAGGAGGTCCTGTTTTCATCACAGAAGTCTCATTTGTACCTGCTTGAGAAAGCTGTAAGGTGCACATGTTCAAGGGTTTGTGTTTTAAGAGCTTTGCATGCATTAACCATGTGTGGGCAAAGCTTGCATTTTGGTCGAGCCTGCATTTGTGAAATACAGCAGTCTTGGAGTTGCCTGTTTATTATTATATTAACAGAGATTTTAGGGATAACACAGGGGGAAATAAAACCAAAACAACAAAACCAAACAACCTAAACTCAGCAGTAAACACGTCTGAAAGAAAAAAAAAAAAAGAGGGCAATTTACTGTCTTTACAAAAACTAGTTGTCCTGCTTGTTAAGTGAGCCTGTGACATGTAATATCCTGTCACACAGCACAAGTTTCCAGGTGGTCAGCAAATGCTGCAGCTTTTCAGTAAATGTTTTTTAAAACTGCTTCCCTGTTGCCATTAGTTAGCATCCAAACTGTGTCAGATTGGGGTTTTTTATTTGTAGACTTTCTGACAGTACTTGATGGGGTATCTGAGTGCCTCTTGCCCAAAGAGATTTACTTCTGCAACTATTTTGTGAGAGGAGAAGTTTTACTAACTCTCTCTTCCAGTGGAGAAATGGAGACAGCCTTTTTAACACCACAAGTTTTCTGTCTGCTTCCTTTCTGGAACTCCCTTCTCTCCCCAGCCTCGTCTACCTGTCTTCCACAACTTCTGCTGTGGTGTCAGATAAAATCTATGTTGAAGGCAGTTCATCTCTGGAGAAAAGCAATCCCCAGATACCTCTGGAACATTCAAAGTCAGGGGAACAAGAAGCTTTGCTTTGAAATAGTATTTGAATCAGTGGTGTATAAGATTATGAATAAGCAGAAAGTATTTAACATCATAAATCCTAATTTCTCCAAACACATTGTCTTTAGTTATCTTTATATGCTGTCTTCAAAAGCAAAACATTTTGTTCTTATGCTCTCAAATTTACAGCAATTCTATGGAAATTAGTTAAATTAGCAAGTAAAATTTATGTCTGCTGGGACCCCACTGAAGTCAAATGATGCCCAAGCCAGAAAGGATTTGGTCTTTTTTCAGTGACAACAGCAAATCTGACTTGCAAAAGGCTGTTTGAATCCCTAGGGAGAAAATCCCCTGTTTATGTGTTGTTGAAAGAGGCCTAAGAATAATGTAATGGTTTCCAGAAAAGCTGACTTTCGAGGTGACAGGAAAAAACAATTATGTCTTCTTTAACCCATCCAATGTTCACACAATTACTGATTTTTCCAGTATGTGCACTTCAGTCAGTTGAGTAAGGAGAACTCAGCTAGAGGGAGAAAAAGGAAAATATTAGTCTCATGGCACTCACAGCTGTTCATTCAAAAGATAATGCAGATGAAAGCTTCTCTGGCTCAAGGTAACTGCAGAGTCACTTTGAAAATGTCATACAAACTGATAAGGATCTGAAAATCCTGTTTCTAGTTGTTTATAAAATAGAGGAATGCTCTTTACAAGATGCTGTGTAGGAAACTGTTGCAGTAAGAATAAGCATGGTATTTATTTTTGTATGAACTTTGTGGTTCTTGAAGCCTGTGGATATGTATAGCAGGGTTCTTCCTGGAGTCTTGTTCTTTTGATGGGTAAGGGAAGCTGGATTGGGGGGGAATAGAAGGGAATTCAGCAAGACTGCAGAAAGTATATCTTGCTGAGACTGAGTTACTCAGTTGCAGGGTATTTTGTCCTGCTACAGATTTCACTATTGTTTTCTGTATCTCACATGATACTGTTTTATTGGCATTTCATGGTGGAAAAGTATTGCTTTAATAGTGCAAATTGTCTGCTTGCTATACTCAGCCAGCTCTTCGACAGGGTAGATTGCTGTGAGAATTTTATAAAGAAAAAACCTATGTATTTTCCTCATTTCCATTTAGCAAGGTAAATTGAATGGAAAAGGGACTGAAGGAATTGTTTAAAAATCTTCTAAAACTATTTTTCTAATGCAATTTCTAGCAGAACTTTCTAGTAAAAACCTACAGAAATATCACTTACCATCTAGCAGCACTGAACCACTCGTCTTGGTACCTTTAAAATGGTATTTAACACTTGCAGTTTGCTGCCAGGCACATTCTTTTTGTCGGGTTCTGACCTTAAACGATGGCCATGGTCACAGCTAATTTTGAAGCTCTGAACAGAGCTGGTTTGAGATTTATTGAGCATGCAAAAAGAAACCAAAAATGTTTGGAGGCTGATGTTAACTGAAAGTGAATCCAACTGTTCTTTACTCTGACGAAAGTTCAGGAAAGCAAATGCGTGCGTTGTTCGTAAGTGCAGTTGGGGAGGTCAGAACCATTTCCACATGTTATAAACCAAAATAGAAAGGAGTGGGGACATGTCCTGGATTGGGTGGGGTAGGTTTTAATGCAGAATTTTAATTCAGGCTGGTTATTTCGTTTTCAGCTAAAGAACTAGTTTGTCACAAGTGCTATCGGAGAAAAAAGTGAAGAATAAAAAGATATTTTCCTCTTGAGTGGATTTTCAGGTTGATGCATCAAAGAACTCATCCATTTGTATATAAAGTTTAACTGTACTTCTAATCACTGACAATCAGGATTCTGGTTTAGTTTTGTTCTGTTTGTGGGTAAGGAGAAGTGTTTACAGAGAGGCATTTGAAGGGGAGTTGGCAGGTTTTTAAATACATGACCATTTTAAGATCATAAATCATTGAACATACACAAAGTTAAGGGCTAATATTAAAAAAAGATTATTTTCTTCTAAAGCTGCTAGAGCCAAACCACTGCTGTGTTTGCTGAAAAAAGTCTGCTGGACAAATTCCCACCTGGCTATGTATCATTGTTCTAAGGACTCTGAGCCATGATCATTCAGAACATCGTTTCTAGTCAATAAGGAAAAGAAGAATTTTTTTTTAAAAATATGATGTTCATAGAGTATTTTCCTAACCTTTCTATATACTAAGATAATATTACTTTGCTGAAAAAGAAAAGTAATATCTATCTTTGTTTTAGTTGACTTTTAATTTTGTACTTTGAAACTTCATGTAAAATCTTGCAGTGTGAAAAAGTTGTGCAAGTTTGCTGAATTGG